CATGAGTTATCTCAGTTGATATCACAGCAGCTCTGTAGAGACTTCTCTTCATTCTCAGTTCTAGGATGAGTCACAGAGACATGAGCATGTCCAGCACCACTCAGCTGCTGGATGATGAAGCCACGGTTGGAAACTTAAGGAATCTGCTCACAGATTCTGCAGCTTGTAGTTGCCATTCATTGTAACAGAAGAAGGAGATGTAAATGGTAACTAAACAAACTCCTCTCGTGGAAAATAACACTATATTCTCATCTTCTTTTGGGAGTCAAATTAATTGATTGTGAGGGACATACCTTGTTAACTGTTATTCATGGATGTGGTCATTTTAATGTCTTTTAGAATGTAAAATATATTTCTTCTTATTCATTCAGAAGACATTATTTGGGCAAATATCTCCTACTTGCCAAGCTATAAATGGGTAGAGCATATGGGTAAGAAAGAACAGATTTTGTTTTTCAAATTGGTCCTCCTCAGATAAACGATGTGGCCTCAGAAACAAGTGTATGGTAAACGTCATGATGGGACATACATGTAGTTGAAAGGTGAGGAGAGGGGAAGACATTCCATTGCATTTATGGCACTCTGTCGACGTGACCAGATGTTCACACAATATCCCCAGCAATTTGGCTTCTCTGGAAAGAATCAAAAACTCAAATTTTAATCAAAGCATCTTTTTTTCCAGGATATGTATTGCGACTTAATAATGTAACATGGGACCAGGGAACCTTAATAATGTAACACTGAATGACTTGCTTAACTTCCTTGTATTTCAGTTTCCCCCTCTGAACACTAAGAATGGCTTTAATAAGAGAATTGTTGTGAGACTTGAATGAGCTTGAGTTCTTTCAAAGAATATTTTATATGTATAATATATATTAGTTATATATAATAAGTAATATAGAGTATATATAATATATATGACTTATAATACTAGCTATATGTGTGTATAGTATATATATGTATACATATATATCATTGTAAGTAAACACTGATCTTCAATGAGCTGTCTTTAAGGACAGCATGGCTATCTTCTTTCAAATGGACCAGGTAATAATAATAACTATGTATACTGACTGAGCTGCTAATGTATCCTAGTTACCATGCTAAGATCTGTTATACACATTCAATTCAGGATCCCAGGAGCCATCAAAAAGTCTAATAATTAAATACAGACCAAAAATAGCTAAGACATATGAGGACTTGGGTATTTAAATGGAAAACTTAACTTAGTCTTGATTGGACTCAGAAATGCACCATTACTGAAGGTAAGACTCCAGCTAGACCTAAAGGATCCCAGCTAAACGATATGATGGTCATTAACAGTGTGGGGACCAGGCTTGGGGGGTGTCCATGGAAAAGAGCCTAGAGAGGAGCAGGGAAAACAGACATGGCTCTGGTGAAGAGCTTTGTAAGCTCTAGGAGACTATAAACATATCTCAGAACTTGAGTGTGGAATATGACATAGTAACATTTGTATTCCAGGCAGATGGCTCCAGTGCTACCAAAAGCAATGGATTTGAAGGAAGTAAAATAAGTGTGGAAAAGCCTATGGAGAGATTATTGCCATGAGGCTGGAGAGATGGCTCGGTAGTTAAGAGTGTTTGCTGTGCTTGTAGAGGACCAGAGTTCAGTTTCCAACACTCACATCAAGCTGCTCAAAACTACCCGGAACTCCAGCTCCAGGGGACCCAATGCCCATGTTTATCTTCCATGGGCACTGGCAGGCACATACACATAAATGAACAGGCACCTACACATAAATGAATAATAAATAAATTATTTTAAGAGGTGATTATTACAATGATTTCACTTCAGGAGAGATCATGAAAATAGGATGGTAGTGAAGAGAAACAGAGAAGTGAGCAGATTTGAGAAACATGTCCAAGTGTTTACTTGCATTTCGTGTATCCAAATTAGTGCCACGTATAATCTTAAACATAATGAAAAACAATACCCATACTTCTCTGAATTGGAGAAACATTTCTGTTTTCATTGAATTAACAGTTTAGTGGGGGAAATTCTTTTCATTTTGTTATTGTTATGATTCTTAAGTAATTAATAAAATTCCATACATTTTATAATATTCTGGTTTGATCTTGGAGCCAAGAAGTAAAAAAATGAATTTATTTTGAAATCAGAATTTAACATCATTCAGGGAAGAAAAACTTCCTTTATAATCACATCCAGAGCAAAAAAAAAAATTAAAAAGCAAGCAAATTATCAAAAGAAAATAAATATTTTAAAACAGCCAAAGCAGAAGCCTGGACACCTTTCAGCAGAGTAATGTCTGGAAATTTTAATGTCTTCCTGACAAAAGTTGTCACTTAAAGAGGAGGAAATTCGAGTGACTTGTGAAGGTCGCAAAGCTAACAAGTTGTCAAAGCTCTTGCCGGGATCTGGTTTCCTTTAAAGCATGCATGAGGAGTCTGTCTCCAGGTGAGGCTGCTGTTGCTATTGCTCACAGATGGCTGGCTGGCTAATCAGGCTCTCTCCACCCTGCACAGCACGACTGACATTTTGGACTGGATAGTTTGAGCTGTTGGACAAGCTCACGTGCACTGTATAGACTGTGACAGAATTCCTAGCCTCCGCTCACCAGATGCCAGTAACACCCTCCTCCACTCACAGTGCCGATAACCAAAACTGTCTCCAGACATTGACAAATATCCCCTCAGGGGAAAATGGCCCCAATTAAAAACAATTGCTCTCAGGTCTTCTCTGTCCTTGAAATACCATCAACTTTAGGCAAGAGGGGGGAAAAAATGGGAGAAACTGCACCATTTCTCACACAGAGTCTAAAATGTCTGCATTATTATTTTTATCACGTTTGTGTTCTTTTCTCCGAAACTTAAGCACCTGTGTGCCTTTTCTCAAAGTCGGACTTTGCTAAGATGATGTTCTCCGTTTCTGCCCTCAGTCAGGTTTCCCCAGTCTCAGCAATGCATTGCATCAGTGGGGGCTGTCCTCTCAGCTCTCTCTGGCTTGTGGGTGAATTCTGCTGGTAGAGGTGGGGGTGGGGGGATGGCAAAAGAATGGGGTTGGTGAAACGGAAGCAAGGTTATGCTGCTGTGTGACTTCCAGGGATCTTAATCCTGCTAGTCAAATGCTTCCTCTATGGTTCCTCTTGGTTCCATCTTTACCACACAACCCTGGATCTCGGCATTATCTCCGTACTTTGCAATGTCTTCCTGCTGCTAATCTCTGGTTTACCTCACATTTCCATGTGACTGGGTATACATTCCCCACCATCTATATAGGTAGTTGACTCGGAATGAGTTATGTCTCCCTAAATTCCCTATTGTAAAGCCCTAACTCCCAGTGTGGAAGTATTTGAATAAGGAAGTAATCCACGGCAATTATGGTCTTGGGGTAGAACTTTGAACTGAGAACATCATTGTCCTCTAGGAAAAACATACCAGACCACATGCTCTCCACCCCTTTTTATCCCCCTTCCCAACACGAGGACACAGCAAGAAGGCATTGTCTGCAAGGCAGGGAAGAGTCCTCACCAGCAACTGGATCCACCAGCACCTCAGTCTTAAAATTCTCAGCTTCCAGAAATCTAAGAAAGTCTGCCTTTTAAACCACTCGGTCAGTCTATGTTGTTATGGCAGCATGTGGTGCCTAATACATCAGTTTCTGTTCTATGCTCTTGTTGTTCGAAGGTGCTGGAGGGCTTCTGTTTTCCTGCAGAGACCAACTGATATAAAAAGATCATTATATCACCAAGACAATATAATATTTATTGTACTCCTGCCATGTGCCCAAAATTATGCAAAAGAAACATTAATATTTGGTTTCATAACTGTTTTCTTCAATATAAAAAATTGTAAGGTTTTTTGTTTGTTTGTTTTTTAGTAACTGCCTTCCTTGGTTTCCCTCATGCTCAGAAGAGGGGAATGAATCAATCACACTTGTCTCATATGAGAATAAAAGATCACGACTACTTTAGTTGCTATGTCATAAGAGGCACAGGTTTTGAGTCATTTAGTACCAGTCATGATTCCTTCCCTTACTTCCTGTGTGTCCTAAATTAGTCTCTCTAGGCCAGAGTTTCCTTGTTTGAAAATGGGTCTAGTAATAGTAGCAACCGAAGAGGTTGTTCTATGTAAAGTGTTGAGAATATATTTAGAGACTGAGTTAATACTCAGTGTATATCTCTTAACTTTTCTTTATAATTGACTATGCGCCAGCTCGGTGCTAGCCACTGCTTAATAGGAATAAGAAATGATGTCTTCAAAGAGTTTTAGTATACAACAGACACAAACAAAACAGTGATTATAAAAATATGGCCAATTTATAGATAGTATATCATCAGGAAGCCAACTTGAACAGTTTGGGAAGCTACAGTCAAGGTTTGAATCTCATTTCTGCCAATTGCTAATCATTTCAGTTGCGGGCAGTTACTTAACTTCACTAAGCCTTCACTGTCTCCCCTGAAAAATGGGGGTAATCGTGGGGGTCTGTTTCATAAGGATGTGTGGGAAGAAATGAGATAATAAATGCAGAGTTTATTGTAGAGTTCTTGGCGGATGACACATCTCCACAGAAGAACTATTACTTTTATCATCGATTGGAGCGGAGGGAGCACAGAATAGAGGTGTCCGATCCAGCAGGGATACCCCAAGTTTTCTACTCCTTTACTGTGACTTTGAGTAACGTAACAATAACTGCCTTCTGTGGTTTTCCTCCTGCACAGAGAAGGGGGATGAGTCTGTCATACTTTTCTAGTATGAGAATAAATTATCACAGCTGCTTTAGAAAATGTCTTGAACAGAATCTATGAACTCTCAGTACATGGGTACAAAGCAGTTCCACACCTGCATGTGTGTGTGTGTGTGTGTGTGTGTGTGTGTGTGTGTGTGTGTGTATGTGTGTATGTATGTGTGTGCGCGCGCGCCGTAGTAGCAGTAGCACAGGACATGTAGAAGAATGTTTGTATCAGCTTTATTGTAGTAGTACAACCAAATGTCCATCCATAGAAGAATGGATCAGTGCATCGTAGTACATCCATACACAATGAACTATTACATAGAAATGAGAATAAGGTACACCTACATGCAACAATATAGATCCCACAGACAAAGAGCCATGAAAGAAAGTCAGAACGCACAGCTTCTTATTCTACTAAAAGGAAGTTTAAGAGCAGGAAAATTGATCTATGGACACAGGAGTCAGAAAAAGGTTATCGTTAAGGAAACACTAAGTGAGTCAGTGAACGGATACATGTTTCTATAACCATTCAAACTAAAAGCCCTGACACGGCAGTTTCCAGTGTCCAGGGTGCAAATATCCCCAGTGTGGTGGACTGTAAGCTCCAGCAGACCTTAGTAAATAGACATGCAGAGAGACACAAATGTGAATGTGAATGCTCTGGCTAATAGAATTGGGAGTGCATTCGGGAGCAATGTGGTGTGTTGAGAATACCGTCATTGGACAGTCCTCACACAGTCCTACATGCACAACCCCAGAGTTCCACACTGAAGAGTTATTCATTTTGCTGCGTGTTACATTTCAGTAGAACGTAAAATTAAAAGTGCATTTCCATGAACTAGAAAGAAAACGTTGTTTGAACTGTTGTGTCCCATAGGAAGATCCAGAGTGGCACCAGGTACCATGGGCTCTAAGGCTGAGTGAGATATAGGCACTCTTTTTGGGGGGCGGGGCCAGTGCTTATAGTACATTTGAAGCAAAACACAGACACCATAAAGATAAAAAAGATGGTGATTTGCACAGCTAGATTATTCTTAAGCATTTCAACTTTAGGCAATCTCATTATCAGTCATTGATATCCCTGATGAAACAGATATTTAAAAAAAATCAGTGTTTTTGAAAAATCCCAGATTCACTGCCCTACTATTCTCTTGTCACTTAGAAATGAAGTTATTCCAGTGGCCGGATCCAGATGAACGTCACCAGGAGCACAGAGCCACCTGAACACAATGACCAGACACCAAAAAAGCATCAACGTAAACACTGTTTTTATTTTGAGAAAAAAAAAATTACACATCCATTTTTTCTTATGTCCCTCACATTTAAATATGCTGAACACATGTGAAGATATCTGTAGTGTATCTAGGCAAGACATTTTAATAAGGCATTTGCTCCTGATATTTACAGTACTCACTTATTCAAAGTTACAAAGCCAAAGCAAAAAAACTTAAATGGTGTTGATGATAACTTGGTAAATCTGTTGATTCATTTGCTCCCGATCTGGCAGTACAGCACCATAGAAAACACCAAACCAAGAATCTAGAAACAAAACACTGGATTAATGTGGAATTTAAAGAACAACACGGGGAAAGATGGAAGCTGTCTTTTGAATATCTCATGGGAAATTAGACTCCTTAGGAAGAGAACAATACTGAAGCCTAAGTGCAGATATCTCTCTCTCTCTCTCTCTCTCTCTCTCTCTCTCTCTCTCTCTCTCTCTCTCTCTCTCTCTCTCTCTGTGTGTGTGTGTGTGTGTGTGTGTGTGTCTGCTTCATTGTGCAGTATCAGCTGCTACTACAGGATGCTCTCCCCTTGTGGTATGCACACATCTTTCTGTAAAGCAGTTCCCTCTGAGTTCTGGGTACCACCAGCCTGTGGTACCCAGAAAATATACTTAGAAATAGAAAAATATACTTATTGATTCTATTGAAAGACCATGGTCATCTGGTTTGGATCATCTGCATAGAAATCAAGGAGTCTAGAATTTCTCCCACTGAAGTTTTAGACGATGCTTAGAAGTGAAAAAAGTATGTACATTTTTTTTTTTTAAGAAGAAGGGAAAAAAAAGCACTTGTAAACTATGGGGAATAGCTTAACTCAGGAATTTTCTTTTGAAGTAACAAAACACAACTGAAAATCTAGGGCGTGAATTCCATCTCATTAGTTCTTCTAAAAGTAAAGAACCTCTGAACTCACTCTAATTGACTCCGCAGTTGGTGACTTGAATGCTTTGGTTTTGAGTAGTTAAGAAGACTCAGCAAATGGCACCTTCCTCTGCCCCAGCCCCTTTCAAAGGAGACAGGGAGTGTGTGTGTGTGTTGGGGGGGCACAATTTCCATCTACACTGCACACAGATTGAAGAATTTAATGAAACACTTTCAAATGGTAGTTTATATCAACGTTTTATCACTAATATCACACTTCCTTCGTTTCTTCATATCTGTTAAGAACATTTATGTTCAGAAAAACAGAAAGAGGATTCTTTATGATGTGTGGACAAAGACTCACAACAGACTTGCTGCTAAGTGTTTATACATAGACTCCCACATGCTGAAGCTGTTTATAAAGATGTGGTAAGATGACCGTTTCTCTGAACTGCTTCGTTCCTAGGACCTCCTGTGAGGTTAACTTTTGTCCTATTAAGTGATGAATAGTCCATGTCATTTGATAATTTTTTGTTTTGTAAAAGCGAAACCACAAAATGCTGACCACTTTTTAATAATAATAATCTGCTTATTTATGTCTAGATAAGGATCCCAAACATCCGCAGAGGAATTTTTTTTTCACAGAATTAAGCATGAGCATCTTGTATGAGTTTCTAGTATGCAGACTGAAACAAGCCCTAAAGGTATATAGCATTAACAAAGCCTCCACCTAAGGTCTAAATAGGGAGTATGATGTTTTTTCTTCTGAGAAGATTGTTTACATATATTTTCTGCATTGAGTCTGTAGAGCATTGCTTTAATTTCCTTAGAAATGTTTAAGAAAAGAGATTTTTCTCTCTGTCCATCTTTGTGCTTCCTTGAATTTGGAAGCCAAAAAGATTTAAGTGCTGAGATACTCATCTAATGATTCAAAGACTAAAGTCTATTTGGAGGCACTTTTCTACTGATTGGGGACCAGGGGGCCATTTGCAAAGCTCTCTTTCAAGTGAAGTAAAATAAGGCACCAAATACTTTTTTTTTTACATCAAACTCTACAATGGAAGACAGGCTTTAGATTGAGAAATCAAAGAGAAGTATCTTAATAATTCGTTCAATCAATTAGTAACCATATCTACATATAGTCCAGACATCACAATTTCACTGGGCTCACTAATGATTACACATTATGACAGTACCACACAAACTCCATAGTGGTAAATAACTGTACATAAGGTTTTTTTTATTCAAGGGTTTCACTTGAAAAACCATATAGGAGAATTAATAATGTCCCTAAATGTGTGACAAGTACATGAAGTATATGACATTCATAAAATATTGATATGCGCTATTCCTCTTGCAATCTTATTTTCTACTAGATCTGTCTAGATTCTTGGCAATAACTTTGGCTATGATATGCAAGACACCAATCTTTCTAATCAATCATGTCCTTATTACTTCTGACTCAGCTTCAACAAACCCCTCAAAAGCGTACGTGAGCTGTATTCAGTCATAGGCAACTCTCTAAATTTGAGTCTAACATGAAATATAATACTTAACCTCACTTAAAGGCTGCTTTCTCAATCTTCATTAATCAGTTAATGATTAAACCCAGGTCTCTGAGAATATTAACCTCCCGCTCTACCACCAAGCTATCCTCGGCCATGATCATTCCTTCAAAATCAAGTCCATCAAAGCAAGTGTATGTGTGCCATATGTTTCTATGTCCAGGAGTAGATATGTGATTCTTTACTCGCCTTTTCAGCCATTGTCCATTGTTTCTAAATTAGCATGAAGCCAGAATGCTAAGTAAACAAACAAGGAACACAGAACAAATGGCAGAATCAAGAGAAACAGACCTAATGCAAAGTAATATTTGACTTTGACTCATTTGGGTCACAAGACAGTAATACATATGTAACATATATGTTATATATATATATATATATTTGAATATATATATATGTATATATATATATATATATTTGATGCTAGTAGCATCTAGTGTTTTCTGATACATGGCTGAGAAATTCCACCAGTAACAACTTAGAACATTCAATGACTTTAATCTCAACCAAAATCCTGACCAAGCAGTTATGCAAAAGGAGGCTGCAAAGCTACTGAAGAGCCCAAAGGGGCACTGCCCAGCATTCCGTGAGAATGAAGCAAACGCCACTCAGCTGCCATCACCAGGGAAATACCACACAGGGCTTGAATTCTTGCTACTGTATTGACATACGCTCATGAGCCATTCTGACTCATTTGACATCTACGTTTCTTAAGAGCTGAGGTAACTCCATAAATGCTCCTTTGAAAATGTCTTATTTCATCTTCTTGGCAAATATGGGGAGGCCGCATAAACGTTGCCCATCAGGTTGTAAAATGAAACGCCAAGAAAATCCATCAAGATGAAAATTTGATGGAAAGTATGTTTTTAAGTTAAATGATTAAATTGATGGAAGGCTCCACATGCTTCACTGCTTTTTCTGGAAACATCTCCAAGTCTGCTTATAGTATCTAAACTGAGAAAATCCAAGGCAACCACTTCTGCTGTTTAGAAGTTGTTAGATTTCTCTAGAATGAGTTAGAGGCAAAACATTTCTCTATTCCTTTGGGTTCGGCTTTTATTTTCTGTTTCAAGATCAAGGCTGGAAATGACCAATTATGGCATTACTTTTTTTTTTTTTTTTTTTTTTTTTGCTTTTGGGTCTTGCTTTCTACCTCACTTCAGAAAATTTAAGACTTGTGCTAGTTTTGATGCAAAAGGGATACCTACAAATAAGAATTGTATAGATGTTAATTTTTTTTTCCTCAAGAAGACATTTAGAAACAGCAGCCTCAGGCCTTCTTGGTTTGTAGGACTAGAATCCTACCTGTTCCAGACTCAAGCCTGGCTCAGAGAGATGCTGCGCCCCGGGCAGTGTGCACCCAGTGCTTGGCTTACCATTAGCATTTGTTACAACCCATGAGAAGTGGAATGAATGCAGAGGCAGTGACACTGTTATACTGTACCTCGATAACCGCCAGTCCAAAAGCGATTCCAATGACAATGATAATGTTCTTCTCAACCATATCTTTTATCAGAGAAAGGCAGGTCTATTCAAACAAACAAACAAATGCTTTTTAGTGAAATTTTGATCTCATATTTATTCTTCTGGTTGACTTTTGATATGGTTACCAAGGTCGGCAAAAAGGAATTGAGCTATTTCTTCTATTCCTAACTTCAATCTTACTCTGTGTTAGAGAGCATTTGAACTAAAAAGCTATGCTTTAGCTACATAGCTCCTGAATGTGGGGAATGATAATCAATAGAGTGGCACCAGGTCTACCAACCACTCCAGGACAGGCCTCATGTTCAGGAATAGCTGACCAATATAGAATCGACTCCACAGTTTCTTTGTGTGCATGCTTTTATTTGGTTACAGTTTGCTGAGATTTTTGGGGGGAAGGGGGGTGTTATTTTGTTTTCTTGGGGGTTTTCTTGTACTGGGTTTCTGGTTTTGTTTTGTTTTGTTTTAAGAACTTAAAATTGGGAGGGTAGGGTGAAGGATTTGGAAAGACTTGGGGGAGGAGAAGAATATGATCAAAATATATTTAAATTTAAAATTGGTTTTAAATAATAAGACTATAATAAAAAAGAAAATGAAAAACTAAAATCATTTTGTGAAAATTTAAAAATAAATTCACACCACTATATCTCCAAAACTATAATTTTTAGAATCAAAAGATCATAAGTAATTGTATCTTCTCTTTGGATTACTTATCTAAGAACTGGTATTCCACTAACTATGGATTATGTGGGTTTGTGACCTGCAGCAGAGAAATCTACTGTTGAAGTTACACCTGGATATAGTACAGATGTTCCTCTTCAAAGCAAAGAGATTCAAATCCTTTAAAAATAAATATGAGTGCTATTTTTAATCTTAAAAAACATTGTTATATATACTTTCATTCTACTACTTTAAGTAAGAAAGAGAATTTAGGAAGTTGTTTCTCTGGTACATTACTTTAAAATGTATTCAAACCAGCCTAGAAATCAAATTTTACATGTCAGGCAAATTCTAAACATTCCAATAACTGAAAATTGCAAGGGTAACTTTTTAAAATGGAAAAACACTGTGCAACATAATCTGTATTGTCATGAACTGTCATCCTTGTGACACTCATATATTTATGAAGACTGACCAAATCATGCTACTAGCTAGAAACAGTGAAAGGTCTCTCCAAAGCTGGAAAGGTCTTTCCCCGACTCCATTCTTTAATGGGATGGACTTCTCCATTCACTTCTAATCCAAAGCAGCAAACATCTGAGATTAGCGTGTCAGTTAGGGTCAAGAGGGAGATGGATGACCGCGTCTATTGATTCACATTCATTATATCTGTCTCCTCCTGCGCCCAGGAAAATAAGGTTATCTTGGCAAAAGAGAAGGAAGAAAATAAAAGGAAACATGAATAATGGTCATTATAGATTTCCTATTTTTCCAGACTTGCAAATGACACATGGCAGATGGAAGTATTCAGAGCATTTATGACCCTCCTTTTAGGGTACTAGGGCAGCTGTTGGCTTATACTCAGCTGAATTATGTGTGAACTTTCAGTAAATATCTTCTTATAAGGGCTTTTCAGAATGTATCTTAAGGAAAAACATCTTTCTACTGAGTTTTTCATAGGAAGTAGACAACCATGTCAACAGAGCCTATGGATTTCTTCCTCCTCCTAACTGGAAGCTACATTCATCTGTACCAGATAATAATTTCCAGTCTACTTGGGAATTGTGTTTTGCTAAATTTAAGCAGGCAGGAGGGTATCAGCTATAAAAGGTAAGAATACAAAATTTTAATTGCTATTATTTTTGACAGTGAAATAACATAGTAATAATGCAATCTGGTAACTTCTTCCCCCATGAATTACTATAAAGATGAGCTACACCAATGCTGCTCCAGAGCAGAGCCTCATTAGCTCCAGAGATAAAGGTCAGTAGTCCAGAGGAGAGAATTTTTTCCCTATGATTTGATATTTTCTTTCATTTATTAATGACATCAACAATTAGTAAATAAAAACAATGCCAGATGGAAAATAACCTTTGGGTATGCGAGTTGTAGGAGGATTTGTGGATATCTCATGACTAGATAATAATTTAAAGGATGCTAAAGCCTTTTTTTTTTTTCCAGACAGGGTTTCTCTGTGTAGCTTTGTTGCCTGTCCTGGATCTCGCTCTGTAGACCAGGCTGGCCTCAAACTCACAGAGATCCGCCTGTTTCTGCCTTCCAAGTGGTGGGATTAAAGGCATGCGCACCACCGCCCAGCCGGCTGAAGCCTTTTTGATGCTGCAACAGTATAACTGAGATAGAGTAGTCTCCAAAGAACAGCAGTTTAAAAAATTCAACTTTAATGCCAATTGTCATGTGTGTACTAAGCCTTTCCAGGTGGAAGGAACAGCTTAGGAAAAGCCTTTGTGGTGAGGGGTACATGTGAGGACCTCCATGAACCCACATTCTGAACTTCAATGATTGATTTGGAGGGGGACCATAACATTTGTACTGTCTCCTACGCAAGCACTTTAGTTATCTTTTGGAGCTGTCTAGTTCTTTTTCCTTTATTCTCTATATTTGATAATCAGTTCTGTGAGCATAGATTTTATACCTTACGTACATACTGATCTCCAGGGACTAAATGACAGGACTGTCCTAAGTGTTCACTGCTTTGGATCAGGTGTAAATGAAGAATGGATCTCCAGAAGGTCTGGCTTACAGGAGGTTGCCAATAGCTATTCGATAAATAGTCATAAATTCTTCATTTAAAAAACACAGGAAAAGCAGAAGGTGATACCCACAATTCAGACATTTAGGAAGTATATAACACATAGAAGATAGAAACTCACCTTTTAAATCTATTTCAAATATTCAAAGCAATTTCTCAATTGCAACAATAAGTAGATAAATTAGCAAGTATATTTATCATCTAGAAACTAAACTTTTAAATATTAAATCCTTCATTTATACTTACATGGGTTCTTGGGAAACGGTATTATGACTAGTAAAAAAATACAGATTTTGAAAATTAAAGTAAAAATATTAATTTCCAGAACTTTTATTAAGACAGAAAAAAGTAGAGATTAGTAATTATAGTCACCAAAGGCAGAATAAAATAAACTTTTTATGTTAGTTTGTACATTGACCTAACTTTGATCCATGAAAGTTGGATTGAAGTGATGTGAAACTCAGATTAAAAATGCTTTCATTTTAAAATATCTTCTTTTATATTTAATAAAGATTAGTTTTAGATTTGGATAATTGCTGTATTTTCCTATCACAGTTTCCCTGGTGCTTGCTGTATTTTAAGTTTCTACAGAGACTGTCATTGTGAAAAGGATACAGCAGAATTAATGTGCCAAACTGGATCTTATTCTCACCTGTCTGTTCACATTAGTTCCCGCATAACTATTACACTGAGAATCTGGCGAATCTGGACATTTACATGACTCTAGAGCGTCATTAAAATTATTTCCCCAATCTTCAGCTCCCTCGACCAAGCCACAACATTTAAGCTGTGAAGAAAGAAAGAGAAGGAAACAGAGTCATTAAAAAAACCACAAACATTGTCATCCATTGACTTGTCCTTCTAAATGTCATTACAGGGATGTGTCTTATGCTAACATACAGATTTTATTTTATTTATGTGGTGTATGTGTGCTTGCTTGTGTATGTGTGTGTATGTGTGTGTGTGTGTGTGTGTGTGTGTGTGTGTGTGTGGTGTGTGCATGCATGTGGGAGGGTATGCCAGTCCTGTGGTCATGGAAGCCAGAAGAGAGCATGGGATCCGCTGGAGCTGCATTAAGAGAGTTATAGCCAGCTGTGAGCCAGCTGACATGGACCCTGAGAACCGAACTCTGGCACTCTGAAAGAGCAGCAAGTGCTCTTTCTTAGCCACTGAGCCATCTCTGCAGTACTCCTTATGCTAAAATATGACATGTCACCTTACCCATACAGAGCACACATATACACAATGCAGATAACAATAAACTCTATTTTTAGAAAGGAAGAAATGTTTCACTTTGGTCTGAACAGCAATAAAAAGGAAAATGACTAAGATAGTAAAAGCTTGAAGAAATTGGAAATAGGGTTTTAAAAAACTAAACAAAGTTCTTAACTTTCAGTTTTAAAGACAAGAGAAAGAGTAGAGTCTGGGATATGCACCCCAGGTTCACAAAAATGTCAAGTTCTCAATTTAAATATATGTGTATATATATTTATATGTATACATCTATCTCAAGATTTCTGAGAAATTTTCAAAATAAAATTTCTATCCCAGGATCTCTGGATCAGAGACGTTTAAAATACCAAAGAATTCCAGAACTTCCCTAGGACTGAATTTTCATAGAGATCTTCAAAATAGGAAAGCAAGCACAAATTAAGGAACAGTGTTTCAGAAAAATGTTATAGAGATGAAAGCCCAGACTAAACTCACTAAAGTGGAAGAGGTTGTGGTCACGCTCCAGGAAGGCAAGGAATCAAGCCTGACTCAGAACACTATCCATGAAGAAGAGAAAGCAATCATTTCCACCCTCTCCTAAACCCATCTACTATAAAGAGCACTTCTGGAGAAACTATTGGGAAAAGTCAGTAAACAACAAATACTGGTCTTTCGGGTATGAATTTAATCCCAGCAGTTGGGAAGCAGAATCAGGCAGGTATCTGTGAATTCACGGCCAATCTGATGGATGTGGTGAGTTCCGGGACAGTTGAGACTATATTGCAAAACACAGACTCAAAAATAGATAAATAGATAGATAGATAGATAGATAGATAGATAGATAGATAGATAGATAGATAGATAGATTAAAAATGGCTGGGCACGTGCCTTTAATCTCAGCACACTTGGGAGGCAGAGGCAGGCAGATCTCTGAATTTGAGACCAGCCTGGTCTACAGAGTGGGTTCCAGGACAGTTAGGGCTACACAGAGAAACCCTGTATTGAAAAAACAACCAATGTCTGGTTTAACTTAAGGCCCACACCAGGAGAGCGAGTCTATGCCTTATACTGCCTGGATCTGGGTAGCCAAGAACCAGAGACCGAATATCCCACAATCCTAGGGTAGAACCAAATATAAATAACAAAAAAGTAATAATAATAAATGAAATGATTCCTAATGATATTCTGCTGTACTCATAGATCAGTGCCTTGTCCAGTCATCATCAGAGAGGCCTCCTCAGGCAGAAGATGGGAGCAGGTACCCATAGCCAGACATTCTGTGGAGAGACAGAGTCTAAATTGCAAATCTCCATCAGGTCCCTCTCCTCAGAAACTGGAGAATGCCTCAGAAGACGGGGAGGAAAGACTGTAGGAGTCAGAGGGGATGGAGGACACCATGAGAACATGACCCACCAAATCTACCAAGCAGGACTCACATGGGCTCACAGAGAAAGAAGCAGAAAGCACAGGGCCTGCATGGGTCTGCATCAGGTCCTCTGAGAATATGTTATGGCTGTTAGCTGGGTGTTTTTGTGGGACTCCTAACAGTGGGAGCAAGTGTGTCTCTGACTCTTTTGTCTGATCTTGGGACTCTCTTCCTCCTATTGAGTTGCCTTGTCCAGCCTTGTTAGGATGTCTTTTGCCTTGTCTTATTGTACCTTGTTTTGTCCTGTTTGGCTGTTATCTCTTAGAGACTTGCTCTTTTCTGAAGACGAGATGGAAGGGGAGTGCTGTGGGATGTCTTTCTGTTGCTGTGAATACTTGTTGCTCTGATTGGTTGATAAAGCCATTTGGCCTATGGCAGGGCAGAAAGAGCCAGGCAGGAAAATCCAAGGGAGATAGTGAAAGGAGAAAGGCGAGGCAGGGGAGATGGCATCCCACCGTCCAGGGAGCAGTGTGTAATGGTAAAGCCATGGAACACGTGGCGACATATAGATTAATGGAAATTGGCTGATTTTAGTTATAAGAGCTATAAGAGCTAGCAAGAAGGTTGAGTCATAGGCCATGTCATACAGTTCATAATTAATATAAGCCTCTGTATGTTTATTAGGGTCTGAGCAGCTGCGAGACCAGGACCGGGCAGGACACAGAAAAACTTACAGTTACAGGGAAGTGGAACTGGGAGAGAGGGCAGGTGGGAGAGGAGCTATGAGGAGTAGATAGAGGGAGGGAGGGAAGGAAGGGAGGAGGGAGGGAGGGGAAGAAAGAGGGAGAGAGGGAAAACTATGGTTGGGATGTATTGCATGGGAGAGGAATCTATTTAAAAAAAACAATAAAAGTGAAAAGGAAGAAAAAGAAAAGAACAGACTTCTAAGAGACAACAAGAAAATATAGCAAAATAAAAAGATAAAGGAAAAACTTTCATATCAAACTCCGACACAGCAACCCAACACGAGGAAGAGTCCCACAAGCAGGCAGAAGATTCAGAGACCCACTCGTTCTCATGGTCAGGAGTCCCATAAAATACAAAGCTAATAGCTATCATCTACACACAGAGGACCTGGTGTAGACCATGGAGGCCCTGTGCTTGCTGCTTCAGTTTCTGAGAGACCGTAAGTGTTTTGATTAGTTGATTCAAAGATAAGTTGGTTTGATTGGTTGTTCTCCATTCTCTCTGACTCTTCCTCTTCTGTGGGATTCCCTGGGCTCTAATGGGAGAGATTTGATGAAGAACTCCAATTTAGACCCTTTCTCCGGGATGTACTGTATGAGAGAAAACAATCTATTTTTAATTAAAAAGAAAAACAAACTCACAAAAAAATAGGAGAGGGACTTTCGTTCAATGGTTGTAGTTGGGTGGCTACACTAGTCATATTTCAAGCCCATCCTGCCCAAGTTTCGGTTGCTGACAGTGGGACCTAACCAGGAGATTTGTTGCAAAGACAAAAATGAGACAATCTGCATGAAGTGATAGGCCCAGTGCCCAGCATGTAGAATCTCCTTTTTAAAATACATGAACTATATATATATATATATATATATATATATATATATATATATATATATCAGATCACCCCACATCTGAGATAACACACCTGATGATTCTTACAGAGTCACAGAAACGTAAGGGAGAAAGCGGGGAGACAGAAAGGCTAAAGCTTGTCCTGATATCTACTCTCTGAACCTGCGATAGAGAAGTCAAGGAAAAGTGTTGTCAGAACAAATTGTAAGTTGACAGTCAGATGTAAAAGACCAGCACTGATGACACGTCACCCTTATAGAAATACTTCTTAAGAATCCTGGAGGGACACGTTCCATCGTATGGTAACAGGGAACTTGTATGGGAATTCCTTGAAATCCACAGAAAGCCATGCAACAACTTCTGTCCATAGCTGGTGTGTTTACAGATGACGTGGAGTTCGGAATAGGACCCTTTCCCCCAAAGAAATGTAACTAAAACCAAGAAAGCTAGATGGATGAACAGATAAAGCAGCTTCAGGGTGAAGCAATATGTCTCTAAGAACATATGGAGTTTTAGGCATAGGATTTGTGTGCGAGGAGAGAGCATCTCAAACAGACAACACATAGCACATTTAGTAAGCCACAGTTGTCACAGATGCCTTACATTCCGGGAAATAGGCAGTAAATGTGGCTCTACACCTGTCCCAGAATCCCACTGGATCTCTATGATCTTTTGTTCCAGGCACTTTACTAGAGAGGACCAAGATTGCTCTGGATGCCCCATGGATGGGCTGAGGCTGCCCAGATTCTTCCTGCTGTCAACTTGAATTAATCTGTGCTTTAGAAGGGAAATCATGTAGGAGGGAATGTGTGCAAGCCACGGACGGATACAGCCACTGGAAGTTAGGAAAACCAGTACCTCACACGGGAATTTAAAATGGAAACTGGCTCATATTAGAGTTCTGTTCTTGAAAACAATGCCGTAAGCAGAGTTTTTGTAAGCTGGAGTCTGTCCAAACAGGAACTGGTAAATGACCAGGGCAAACAATGCCATCTGACAAGTGGTTTAGGAAATCAAGGATGCTTCAGCTTGAAAAGCAAATTTTGGGAATCAAACAACAGCTATTTTCAAGGAAAGAGCCCTGTGTTTACAGACATCCATTGACTTCTTTTTCTGGTGAGATTCAGAATTAAGACTAAATGACATGAATTCCAGGGAGATAGTTGTTTGTTTTGGTTTTGTTTTTGTTTTTTCAAATTGAGGAAGAACACACTGATTATCAGACTAGTATAGAAGTGGGATAAGCAAAAATGGGTAGACTTTCAGCTCACTATTTAAAAGGTAGATGGTAAGTGTGAAATATTTCAATTGATGAAAAGCCAGGATGGATATCCTATAAAACCCAGCCCTCCTACAACCTTCTAAGAATTTCTATGCCAAACCACACCTACAGTGAACACTGCATGTAGATATTATGATGAGACTTCTAAAATCTAAAAGTGTGGCTAGGAAGCCTCTGACAAAAGAAAAATTCATCATGCTTTACAGCACATGTATTCACAAAGGGGGAGAAAAGCAAGAAGTGTACTCCAAGGATGTGGGAATGATAGAAAGGCAGGAAGAAGTCTCTCAAGAGACCTTGACCACACAAACCCGGTCTGACCCAGCTTCCTTCGGAAGCAATACTCAGTAAAGCCTGGGAAGGAGTCAGATAGTTGGTTAGTTTTAATGCCTCCATTTGATTTTACCTTAAAGGAGAGGGAGGGAGAGGGGGAAGAGGAGGGGAAGGGAGGGAGGGAGGGGAGAGGAGAGAGAGAGAGAGAGAGGGAGAGAGGAGAAAGGAGCTAGTAGCCGAAATAAAAAATGAGGTCCTGTAGATCTGGACTCAAATTCCAACCCCTTCATTAGTTATTTGTCAGCCCCAACTCAATAACGGTGTGCATCAGCGTGACGTCACATCTGCTTTGGTTTCATGCCCTGCAATCTTGGGTTGCAGCATTAGAGAACATTCATGAGGTGGGAACTGGGCCAAAAGGAATCACTCTCTTGAAGGGATCGCTGCTGGCTGAAGAGAGTGGGTGGAGTTTGCAGGACCGAGTTAGTTCCTAAGAGAGTGGGTTTCCATGAGAGGAGGGAAAAGAGATTTTTAAGGAAGGGTAGGGAGAGTGACAGGAGCCTGTGACTTACTCGAAAGGGACTACTAGGGTCAGAAGGGTACAAGTGGTGGGAGTGGGCAAGAGGAGGAGGGAGGAGAGTGGAGGAGAGGAGTCCAGCAAAATAAAGTGTGTATAAGAAGGACACAGGAGCCGGGCGGTGGTGGCACACGCCTTTAATCCCAGCACTCGGGAGGCATAGCCAGGAGGATCTCTGTGCGTTCGAGGCCAGCCTGGTTTACAGAGTGAGATCCAGGAAAGGCGCAAAGCTACACAGAGAAACCCTGTCTTGAAAAACCAAAAAAAAAAAAAAAAAGAACGACACAGGAAAAGCCACTGTAATACTTTGTAACCTTGTACGCTGGTTAGAAAGCAAATTTTTAAAAGAAATGTAGAAAGTCTGAACACTCAGAACTACATGAGCAAAATCAACAATAAAAGAGCAGGCCTTCCTCCTCTCTAGACTCTTGCTTCTTGTCTCTGAGTAATCTCCTCTGTATTTATTCCCACCATCGTGATGTTCTCCTCCGTGAGGACCTCACAGAACTGAGCAGATGATGCCATGCTCCTCAACCTCCAGAACTGTGAGCAAAATAACCCTCTTTTCTGCCAGGCGTAGTGGCGCAGGCCTTTAATCCCAGCACCTGGGGGACTAAGAGGCAGGCTGATCTCTGTGAGTTCGAGGCCAGCCTCATCTCCATAGTGAGTTCCAGGATAGCCAGGGCTACATAGTGAGAACCTGTCTAAAAATAACAATCAGACAAATAAACAAGCAACCCCCCAATAACACAAATAAATATCTTGTGTGTATAAAATACTTAGTCTCGGGCATTTAGGTATAGCAACACAAAACAAACCAAGTCACTGGTTCATAGGGTTGTAGGGAGCAGGAAGAGTTGTTGTAAGTGGAGAGAGGAAAAGAAGAAGGTAGACTCCTCAGCACACTACTCTTTCAGATTGTAAATATTAAAACAATTACTGGTTTGTCCCATAAAAGCTTAATTTGTTGTAGACATAGCTTCTTAATCTATCCTCTAAATGGCTTCAAATCCTAAGGGATTGGAAACTGTTACAAGCACTTTTTTCCTATTACATTGTGACATAATAATCAGTCAAAATCTGAAAAATGAACAATTTGTCTTCGCAGAGTAAACATACCAACTTAAAAAAATTAAAGAGTGGACTGAAGAGATGGCTCAGTGGTTAAGAGTACTGACTGCTGTTCCAGACGCCCTGGGTTTGATTCCCAGCAACCTCAGGGCAGCTCATCACCACCCATACCTCTAGCCCCAGGGGATCCAACGCCCTCTTCTGGTCTCTGCAGGCACCAGGAATGCATGTGATGTGCAGACATACATGCAGCAAAACACCACACATATATTTTTAAAAAGCGATAATAATAACTTTATAAGTTCCAAACCCTGGAACAAATGGCCGGAGTGCTTATGTAACATATCTAAACAGATCTGGCCGCCAGGTTCTCCTAGCATCCCTCAGTCCCTACTTGTTACAGGGTAAGGCTGACATATCCCACCCTCTGCCCTGAACTCTCCAGCCCAGGGGCTGGGCTGCCCTTTTCCCAGAGGCTCTTCCCTATATAATCCAGACATTTTGGTTACCCACCCCTTCTATACTTTTGCCCTCTTTGCTGGTACACCTGGTTCCCCTCTCTTCCCTCTTCCTTCCCCTCCCCCTCTCCCCACACGGCCCATCTCAGCCTGGTCATGTCCACTCCTCTGGACGTCCCAGATGTCCCTGCCTCTACCTATACTCTTTTAATGTCACTAAACTTTCTCCTCCACCACACGTAGGGGCAGTCACGTCCTTTCCTATCCTTTTTATTTCTTCTTTTCCTTCACTTTTTAAATTTCAAAGTTAAACACTGAGGAAATTATATTCAAATTTCCAAGTGGCCAAGACGTTCTCATTACCTCTTCTTGAAGTGCAATCATGGCCTGCTGGAATTCTTTTGCCTCAGGAGTCGTTTGAGACAAGAGTTTTGCATTGTCATAGAGCGTTTCATTCAGAAGGCGGCTAGACTGAAAATTGAAAAAAAAATATATATATATATATACGTTGTTAAATTATTCATGCCAGCGTGTAGAATTTCAATGTTTTAGGCCTTTCCAAGAGCTGTCAAACATCATCGGTGAACATACCTCAGATTTGAAAGCAGCTCCCAGGATACCTGCTGCCAGCTGCAAGAGCAGAATCAGGAGCAAGCCGATGAAAAACTGAAAGACCAGACAGAGGTGTGTTATTCTCAGAGTAGCCAGTAACTACCAACAGCACTCCAGTGTCACGTGACCCCTGGCAGCCAGAACTATCAGCCTCAGTCTCCCATTATTACACCATTGTGTTGAAGCTACAAATTGACTCGATTACTACCAAGCAACATCTCCTTTAAAAAAAATGATCAAGGAAAGTGGTTGTAATTAAATCTCATTGGAAAGACTATAGTCGATTCTCTCATCCTAAAGGGAGGTAGGTCTGAAAGCCTAGAGGACCTAAGTATTGTTTCCCTATTCCTGTTTAACACACACACAGACACACACACACACACGCACACGCACACGCACACACACACACACACACACACACACGCTCTGATTTCAAAACAGTATCTTCACTGTGGGAATCACATGGCACCATGTTCCTGGTGTAAATCCTGAACTCTGCCTGGAGGATGGAGTCCACATACCAGTTTTTTTAAAAACAAGTTCCTCAAGTAATTAAATTCCCCAAATGGTAAAAGAGGCCTCATGACTCAAACAGCTCTCACAGAAGATGTAACTGGAGTTCTGTTAAATGTGTCTCTGTCTTCTCTCTTAGTAAACAGCTAAGCACTGTTATTGTTCTCAGATACGCAAACTGCTTCTTTATTTATAGACACAAGCTTAGGTTCATTCTAATTTATACCCCACAAATACTCTATTTTCTAATAGTTTGACAAGATCTGTTCATTACTTTGCAGTCTATAAGTTAAAAAGTGAATGCCTATGGGCTATCCCAGTTCAATCCGCCCTTCTGGAAAATCCTAAACCACAAATCTGATTATCTCCCTTGCAATTTCCTTAGCACAGCCTGTACTTTACAGCCCACACAAATACATCTCCTATCATTACTGGAAATAGCCCTCTCCAGCCACACCCAACACTCCCATTCCTCACCCAGAGCAACCCTGGATCCCAGGCTCTCTTCCAGGTGACCACAGCCCACAGCACACCCTTACCTAGGCAGACAGATTATTCACTTCCACCTCTGGCTCGAAAGCTCCCTCCCCCATCTTCACCCCTCTCCTCTGCGAACACTTTCACTGTAGTATATTCTTACGTCTTTCTTTTTTTGGGGGGGCGGTGGTTCTAGACAGGGTTTCTCTGTGTAGTTTTGGTACCTGTCCTGGATCTCCCTATGTAGACCAGGCCAGCCTAGAACTCACAGAAATCCACCTGGCTCTGCCTCCCAAGTGTTGGAATCAAAGGTGTGTTCCACCACCACCCAGCATATTCTCACTTATTCTTCCCCCATGGGTTATGTCCACTTAACACAGTGTCTGACACACAGAAACATGGTCAAGTGGCTTGAATGAAGGACAGAATGAGAGAAGAAGGCATGACTGATTAAAATGTATCTTCCTTTAGACTCTAAAAGTAACCTCAAATTTAAGCCGAGGTAATCCAAAACCTAAAGCCCTAGTATCTTCCATATGTAAATCCTCTAAAATAAATGAGGCTTTCATCAAGCTTGCCAAGTCTTTGGACCAACCACAGGGACGGATAACCCTTGGGGTCCGGAGGGTGGATGCTGGGATTGGTCTGGAACCCACCAAGAGAAGCATGCAGCGGCTTTCTTTCACAGCACCACAGCAGCCCAGGAAGCCCAGAACCATGATGATGGCCCCCACCGCGATCAAGATGTTCACAGCAATGTAGGGGTTCGTGCCAGAGTCTCCAGCAGAGATGATCTACAAACAGAAGAGATTGGTGGTATGAATTCCTTGTCTTGACGTTTCTTTTTCTCCTTTTCCCAATATCTCTTGAGTACCCACTCAGTGCCAGGCCCTGTTCTGAGACCCTGAGAAGCTTTCATGGTCTAAGCTAGTGAAGGTCTCCGCTCTGGCAGAGCTCACATTCTGCTAAAATGCTACCTTCCTGAGTCGGGAAATTCTAGGATAGATAATTCTAGAGTGAAACAGTAGATGTTGAATGGAGGAACTGTAATGGCCTTTTAAAGTTGTTTCTAAAAGTTGAAAATGAAAAGTACTTTTAGTCCTTTTGATGGGATCTTTGGTTCACACAGTGTACATCTGATTCATAGAGTAGCATAACAAAAGTCTTTGTTTTATGATAATCTAATCATTTTTACTTTAGAGTACCCCAAGTTCTTAAAGTCGCTGTTGGTTATGGCATGATGTCAGAATCATGTTGAGCTGAAGAAGCTGTACATAAAAAAGCAAATGCTGTAAGATCCATTTACACAGAGCTGAAGAACATGCAAGGCTGTGGTGATAAAAATAAATGCACTTTGCCTTTGTGCAAAATAGACAAGAAGTCAGGAACTGACTGAAAAGGCCCACTTGCATCTTGGTAAGAATTCAATAAGCCCATGTTAACCCTTACTTCTCATTCCCTGAAGGACTTAACCCAGAGACTTTAATTTTACCTGACTGTTAAATTATGGGATGTTGAGTAAAATACTGTAGGTCTGTTTATGGTGGGTGGGCTACCCATCCAGTGTAACTCAGTTCTTCTATATGCTACACAAGTATCCTCTTGTACTTAACCTCATAGCACCCCAAACCCATCTGCTGCTTGTCCTGCTTGATGCATGGATGCATGTGCAGTAGTCAATTATAACTAGAGATGGAGATCTTGTGCCAGTGTTCCACCTGCATGCTGCATTCAGCGCCCCCATGCCACCTGGAACCTCAAGGTACTGGCTGTCTCCACGCAAAGACACTCAGGACTCTGTATTCTCTAATCTCTCAGACCACCCACACGTCACCTACTCTACCAAATCAATGCAAACGTAACACGCCACTAGTGATCCTTCTGTGTTGAAAGGTTTTTTAAATCCATTCATAACCTATAGGAAATGTTTATTCAATAGTCAATATGAAGGTGCGTACTGAAATTATGAAAGCTTAAACACAAAGATCCACATTCTACATGGGGTCCCACTAGGCAACAAGTTTGCAACCCCAGGACCATAAATGAACCTGAGCCTTCAGGCCCATTTGCAGTTTGTAAAAGGGAAATAGGTCAGGTCTGTGATTTCTAAAGCCTCTTTTGTCTGTAAAAGTATTTGCTCACACATAATGCTTAGATTTACAAATTTAAAGCCTGCTTATGTCATAATTTTTTTTAATTTATTTTGGGGGAGAGGTTTTTGTTTGTTTATTTGTTTGTTTTGTTGTTGAGATTGGAGCCAGACTTCTTGGGAGGGAGAATTAATTTCCTTTAAGGTTGTTGGTCCTGATAGATAGACCGCTCTGCTCTGGTGGATAGTCCCATATCTATGAGTATATGGGCAGCACAGATTGGGCCTGGTGGATTATTACAACAATAACAAAAGTAAAGACATAAATTTTGGAAAGGGTAGATTGGGTAGATCTGGGATCAGGGGAGGAGTGAGGGGTGAATATAATCAAAATACCTTGTACGAGTGTATGAAATTCACAAAGAATCGATGAAAATATATTTTTAAAAGGACTAGGAAATTATTTTATTCTATTCATTTATTTTGGTTTTGTGAGACAGGGTTTCCCTGGAAAGCAGCTCTGGCTGTCTTGGAACTCGCTCTGTAGACCAGGCTGGCCTCGAACTCACAGAGATCAGCCTGCCTCTGCCTCTCAAATGCTAGGATTAAAGATGTGTGCCACTGTGCCCAGCTGGATTAGGAAATTATTAAAGCCAGAGAAGTCATTGTTGTTAACAAGCAGGCACAAGGTCAGAGACAAAACAGATATGTCAAGAAAGCAGCTTTGGGAAGGCAGCTCTGTCTGGTCACCAGGACATGCTGTGACATCTGAACAGGCAGAAGACTCTAGCAAGGTTATTAGAACTCAGGATGGACACAGAGACAATAGATGGACTATCTACACAGGGAGCCTAAGTAGTGCAGTTGATACCCGTCCAGGCAGTAGTTAAGGACTGTGGTGAGGCCACCCACTGCCAGGGACCAGGCAGAAAGAAAGCTGTGTGCTGACCCACTGCCAGTCGCTGTTGCAAGCTCAGACCAACAAATGCCTATTCTTCCTGAAGAATGAACTAGAAATCAGAGCCGGATGTTTGTTCCAGCAGGAACCCAGCAAGCTTTCCAGAGCTGCCCCATATAAACAGAGTCTGTGTGTTTCTTAAGAAAAGGGGAGACATTCCAAAGAGGGACTGGTGGGTCTGTAAAATGAGGCTACTGGGACCTTCTTTAGATTAGAAAAGATGTTCTGAACAAGGCTGGTGCCCATGATTTTGACCTTGGAAGCTATGGAGTTTATCCTTAAAAATGACCCTTCCAAGGCACGTTAGCCGAAAGAGATGTCTCCTCCCTGTCATTCTTGTGTGTGTTTGTTCTCATGTTGGCCCTTTTAAAAAAAAACTACTAGTTCTATTTTCCCAGGAAGAAAATTCAGCTCTTCACTCAGTCTTGATTCTTTGCCACTAACTGCAGATAAACACACATCGTCAAGTTAAGTTCGCGTAAGCCAGGCTGGTTGTCCTGGTAGCGACTTTTGTTCTGGGGAGGAGGCTGATGGCACAGGGGTCTAAATGTGACTAACAGTGCTGTCTGGCCCCTGCAGTCCAGTCCATTTCATTCCCAGATGTGGCGTCGGAGTCACATTCTCTCAAGGACAACAGCTCTCTTTTAATGTGTTCAATGTGTGTCATGTCTTAACAGACTAAACACCAAATTTGCTTAACAGAAACACTGGGGAGAAAGAAAACATCGCCCAGAAATCAAATAGTAATATAAAATTCAGGCTGCGCACACATCTTCAAAAGTCCAAAGTACCCTCAAAGTGATGGTTCTTAGTCTTTTTTAAAATTATGAACGTCAAAGTCAGACAGATTACATACATATTCAAAACCCTCTTCCTCCTCTCGAACTCCAGTTCCTGGGGTCATCGGGAATTTAGAGCCACACTGATCAGAACAAATGGAATTCTGTTGAACTGGGAGGCAAGGCTCTCTGTCCTACCCAGCCCCTCCCAGTTTAATCATCTGGTGAAGTATAGAATGAGGAAGTAGCTAACTGCCTCAGGGGTTCTCTGGACTCTCTTGGATGGAAAGAGTCGTAAGAGAGAGAGCTAGAGAGGGGGAAAGAGGGAAGGGGGTAGGGCATGAATATTTCTGGAAAAGCTGTCCATGCTAGAAAAGGAAACAAACCAGCTGCCAGTTTTCTTTCCATCCTTCTTTCTACTAGGCCGTGTCCAAAGGCAGTTAGTTGTATCGTGATGTATAATGCATTTAAATAGTTTTAAAGCATCTTCTTCACCGCTGCCTTAATATCATCTTTTATAACTTTCAGTCGGAATGAGAATTCTTCTTAAGGGAGGAAAGGTATTGGAGCAAAACCTTTGAAAAGGCCCTAACAATAGATGTGACCCTGCCAAGAGCTTGCCTTCACAACCAAGGGTGAGTAAACTGCTCTGCAGGAGCTGGGACAGTAAAGCAAGGGGGTGGGAGGTAGTGGGGAGCTGGGGGAGCTGAGGGTGCTCTTTTAATTGAGAGGGAAGAAGAGAAATGCAAATAAGGGAGCCAAGAAATGGAGCCAGTGTGGAGTTATTTTGGATAAGACTGAAACAACAAATGACCCGTGCACACTTACCCTTTCTCCCTCCTTATACATTTTAACACTTTAGCATGGAAAAGAAATAGCATGTGGTGAATCCAAAGCCTGGGGCTGGAATGGTGCCTATAATCTAAACGTCCAAACCTGGGGACATATTGATAAGAGCTTTGTCCCTGGGGTGAAAGATATGCAGTGTGAGGGAACTGGTCTTATTAACTGTTTGTGTGATCAAGAAGCTGAACAACACCTGAGTCACGCCTCTGGTTGAAGTGGTTGCCTCCAAATCTGGTTGTAAGAGGTAAATACTGACTACCCTTGTACTGTGCTGTCCTTGAAATCTAGAATCACTTTCTTCTCCAAGAAAACATTTCATCTTACTTCATTTTGGACCAATCACCTTGGGATCAGCTACATCATAATCAGAATGTACTAGAGAAGTTGTTCTTGGTGGGGAGGGAAGGTATTCAGTGTCTCCAAGCTGCTCATCAGCCTGGCCTTTAGTACGAAGGACGCAAGATTCTACTTAGACCCCTTCCTACATCTCCTTGTGTTGAAGTCTTTCTAGTTTGAAAATAATGTTACTAGAACTTGGGAGAGACAACCCCACCTGGGGTGACACATGTTGCCAGGGAAATTGGGGTCACCTCTCAGGGTTCTTAGTCTCGCTGATAAAAGAATTCAAGAATGGGTTCAGAAGAAAGCTCAAAGATAATTTTATTTGAGCTTCACTGAAAAGCCCCAGGACAGATGAGCTATAAATCTTGGTAGCTTCCTGGAGGAGGAAGATGCCTAAGAGGAAGAGAGGAAGCCATACTATTTGAGTTGACACGTTCAGCCATGAAGGTCAGACAAATAGTCATATGGCAAAAGCAGACTGGGGGTGCCAATGTAATGGGCAGCATGCTGAATTCCTGTTCTCCATTATCAACTACACAGAGCGCTGGAGCCCAGAAGGAAAAACACATGCTCTCATAAAGGATATAATTACCTCTGTATTTTTAACATGGCTTATGGTAAACCAGCCTTCCTGAGGAATGGTCCTTTGGTCAAGCGATTGACCAGCCCAACTACATTGACTAACTCTTACATTTGGGGTAGCTTGGAATGTTAGATTTCTTTCCCTTCACAAACATAGATGCTTCTGTAACAATAACACACCCCTCTCTACTCTCCAGAAGGACTGCTCCATGCAAGGCACACAACAAGCCATTTTGATGGCTTAAATTATAAAACCATAAAACATCACACATGGTAAGTGAGGCATTGAAGAAAAATGGTACACAACATTTTCTACTTGTCATTATTATTGCTGTTGCTTTTCATGAAGGAGACAGAGTTGCTTTGTGTATCTATATTTACCTCTTTGCCATCCTTGCTCACTCGTACCCATATCGATAGTGCTAGGATCAATGTACCACATATCTGCAGAAATAGGGGGGGAAATGTTAGAGTACAAAGATAAAATGAAATGCAAATTCCATAAACACCATTTATCTGGCTGTAACAGTTTATCAGTAATTAGACCATTACAGTCTGAAGTGCTCCATAGCAGTCTATAAGACTGATAAGACTAACAGTCCATTCGTAGTGTTAGGACAAGAATCCACCTCTGCCGGCTAGAAAAAGACATTTCACATGATTTAATTCCAATCACATGGGTTTTTCCGCCTATGGTTTAAAGATAAGATACCCCTAATATACGCCTGGATTTGACTTTTGAACTCTATTTTGGACCAAGAAAGAAAGGCATAACTCACTAATTATCAAATACGCATTCAGGATTCCCAAGGAAGATTGAAATTTGCAAAGATAAACAATAGTAGAGCATTTGGGAAAATTTGAAATTTAGCAATGATAGTATAGATTAATATTTTTAAACTCAAATGAACTTTTTCTGAAAAAAAATTCTTTTAGGTAGTAAGGCTTACCCAGAGAAAAGAAACAATGGTGTACAGTATTTAAAGTCTTAAATTCCTTTAATGACTTTACCAGAATTATTTAATTTGGACCATGGCCAACACATAAAACGTGAAACGCATTTTACCTTAGTGTAAGGAAAACTCTTGTCTCTCAAGGTTAAAAAAGAAAGAGATATGCATAGAGGCTTCAAAAAAATCAAAGATGTATTATTAGATAGATATGTTGAGAGCAGCCCTGGTGACATACCGGACATAGTAGGCCTTGGAAGACTTTCTAGATGTTTCTGACCTCTCCATACATTAAAAAAGAAATGGTCGAGTTCTCCAAAACCCAGTGACCTTGGAGTGCCCTTGCTTTCATGCATGCATGGTTGAACCACATGCCTGCAACCTTCAGCAGAACGTTCAGAGCTTTCTCATTAAGCTTCCAGTAGAAGGAAGGTCAAGGGGATTGTTAAAGGAATAGGCAGCGCACAGAGCAGCTGAGGAGACATGGAATCTCTGCTTCCCCGAAGACCTCAAAAGCCGTCTAAGTCCAAATTGTTTGTTAAAAGTAACTGAATCCTGGTAGATTACAGTCACAAGGTTGAAATCCAGGCCAACTCCTAACCAATCTGCCCTTCTTACATGCTTTAACTCCTATAAAAATCGCCCCAATTATTCTAATGCAATTTTTTAAAAAGTAGAATTCTTTGTTCAGTAGACAATAACTTATACAATTGACTATCTTATATGCAGGCATATATAGACACTATATAACATAAATTAATAAAAGTTTAGAGTTGCAAGCCTCATTACCCCTCTTCCCAACAAAGCTAATATTTACAAATGAAGATAAGAACCCACGTTAGCAGGTGCTAGATAGCAAGTCAGAGAGGAAGAATGAGCGTCAAATAATAACTAAAGAGACCTCCTGGTGCTGATTCTATAATAATCACATTTTTTCTTGTTTCTTAATTGATTTCCTTCCTGATACTTTCTTTTTCTTCTCCCTTTACAAGCACATTTATACTGATCCTCATTTTTAAATGTATTCTTTGAGAATTTTATGCAGTATATTTTTACCATATTCTTTTCCACCCCTCGACTCCCATGCCATCTTGCCTCCCTTCCTAACCCATTTCATGTTCTTTCATTCTTTTAAAAAAAAAAAAAAAAGAAAAGAAAAATCCACTAAAAGGCATGGAGTCTGATTTATGTTGGCCAGCTGCCCATGAGCATGGTTGATATCCCCGGTATCACTCCATTAAAGAAAACTGATTTTCCTCCTGCCCCTTGCTATCATTTGGGAACAGCTTCTTGGCTAGGGCTGGGAGTCTGTACCCACTTCTCTTTTGTGCCGGGATTTTGTCTCTCCTGAGCATATCTCATGCATGCTTTCACTGTCTCCGAGAATTCATACATGTATCTGCCCTTTTGTGTCTGTTTACTTAAAATCACCCATCACCTCTAACTCTTACAATCTTTCTACCCCCTCTTCTGCATGGATCCCTGAGCCTAGAGGGGAGAGATGTGGTAAAAAACAAACCAACCAAACAAACAAACAAACAAAAAGCATTCTACTCAGGGCTGAGCACTCCAAAGTCTTTCACTCTGCATATTGTCCAGTTGTGTGTCTCTGTGTTCATTAACATCTACTGCAAGAAGAAGCTTCTCTGATGAGGGCTGAGGGATGCACCGATCTATGGGTATAGTAATATGTCATGAGGAGTCAATTTATTGCTATGTTCATTTAGCAGAATAGTAGTAATGGGTTTTCCTTTGGAGACCATGACCTATCTCGTCTCAGGTTCTCCACCTCTTTCACAGTATCAGGACTAGGTTACATCTCATGAAATCCAAACGAAAAGTGGTTGATTGCTCCTATAACATTCATGCCACTCTTGTGCCAATGGGCATATTTTATAGGCAGGTTGTCATTATAGCTCTGAGGGGTCATAGCTGGAAGAAACTGATGGTTACTTTTCTCCTCCAGTAGCATGTACAGCACTTAACCAGTAGGGATGGAGCTTTCATTTGAGTGCCAGCCATATTTCTCCATGTTTGATAACATAAGCCTGTGTTTTTTTTTCTTTTCTTTTCTTTTTTTTTTTTTTTTTTTTGAGCAGTAAGGTGGTAGAGGGTAGCTAATAGCATCAGCAATTGCTTGTAATGTTCAGGAGGAGTCTATGGGAACCGTTTTGTCAACAACTCAAAAAGATATAACCCTTTCTTGGTACTGGGAGTTTTATTTGACAGCATATGATATCTAGTTGGGATATTATCTCTCTCATTGTATGGTAACTCTATTTAAATTCCATTTATTTATGTATAGACTTTAGAAGCTTCTACAGTAGTTGGTTTTCATGTGGTTTTTTAAAAGGCCCTTAGTGCTATTCATCCCTTTCCATATTGCCTGGTGTACTCTGATCTTCAATTTTATGTTGATCATCTTAACAGTTATTCTGGTCTTTAACTTTAACTAAAAGCAATGTTAACTATCTTAGTAACTATTGTTTATTTGGAAGTTATTATACTATCAAAGAGAAAGCTTTAAGACAACTATGAAGTGCTGAGAACTGGGGAAATAGTCTTCCCCAGGGAAGAGCACACCAATTGGTTTTCCAATACCAAATGGTCAGCCCTGAAAACTTATACATACAACACCTACAGGTAATATATTTACATATGTCTACAACAATAATTACTGGAAAAAGAGGTCATAAATTTGAAAAAGAACACAAAATAGTATATGGTGGGGTTTGGAGGGAGGAAATGGAAGAGGAAAATGATGTAACTATATTGTGATCTCAAAAAATAAGGTAATAATAATAACTCTTATAGTAAGAATGTGATAGTCTTTAAACCTTTATCTCCTTTTTGTATTATTATTTACTTCAAAGTACTTAGAAATTAAACTATACCTGTGTATCTTATCAACTATATTTGACTCTCAAATCATGTTAGGTTTTCTCAGCAATTGAATATTATCTGTAACACCAACATTGAAAAGGAGTACTCAGTTATCTCAGAAGTCAAGAATATTTTGCCTAATTTGTCTTCACAACTAGACAAAATTCTTTTGCACATATAGAAATTAGCTAAATGCTCATGCCCATGCCCATCACTATCCCTCTTGTTTTTGTATTTTAGTTTTAAAATAAAAATATATTGTTTAAAACACATCTTTCTCATCTCATTGGAGAAACTCAAATGTAAGGATAGCAAACTTAACACCATTAGAACCTTCATAAATGCTAAAGCTAATCTTAAAAGTCGATGCATCGTCTACCAAGTTGATTAAATACAAAGCAGTTTCACTACCATTGCTTTAAGATGGACCATGATAGTGAGTGCATAGAGCCTTCCCCCATCCCTTGTCTTTGGCTCTAAGGGTCTGTGATGTTGTTAAGACATGTCCAGTTCTAGATATTTTTTCATTGTAAGACTGTAAAATGAAAGGCATTAATCTGTTGGCCCTAGGCCTGGCATGAGTAGGTACTGTAGAACTAACTGGCCCATCTTTACTCTGGTTTCACTTTCAGGAGAAAAATCTGGTTTTCACCCAGTTCTTACTTGATGTCTTTGAATTTTACACTCAGGATGTGGTTGGTCAGAATCAGTATTCTGAGAATATAGGCAATTTTGGTATTTGCATATGGGCAAGCAACAGGTCTGGTTAGCATCTCCCTAGACTCTTATACAAAACACAGATTCAGTGATATATTTGGAAATAGGACTTTTAGGAGATAATCAAGGTTAAATGAACTCATTGAGGTAGAATCCTAATCCAATAAGATTATGAACCTTACAAGAGAGATCTGTCTCTCTCCATTAACTTAACCCCTGGGAAGTACCCCATGAGAACATAGTAAGAAGGCAGGAGAACGACCCTCACCAGACACTCAAATGGCCATCAGCTCAATCTTAGACCTCCCAGGTTTCAGAACTGTAAGAAACAAATTTCTGTTGTTTCAACTACCAATCCACAGTAATATCTTATGGAAGCCCAAGCAGACTAAGACAGAAAATACACTGAAATCAACAAAATGTTAGGAAGAGAATGGGAAGGCTTTCTGAACTAACTTCTGATTTGAAATCTGCAGGACTTGACAGGAATTCGTGGGGGTTCCTAGAAACCCAAGCTCAGCTTACAGCTGCTCAAAATGGTCATGAGCGGAGGAGAGTCTGTGTTATCCATAGCAACAGGCTTGAAGCCAATTGGATGGGGACATTTGGGGCCTCATCTATGTAGAATAGAGGCTAGCATCATTAAGGTCTACACACTTCATTCTCACAGACTCCTTGTCTTGTGAGAAAAGAGAAGGGTCAAGCAGAGCTAAAATTATGCTTCTGTTTTAAAAGCCTACTATGCATAAAATATGATTATCATTTGGGGGGCAAGTTCTTATACTAAAAAGCAATATGATCCATCATTGGAATAAAAAAATCAATTAATCTACTGCATACCAAGCCTTGCTTATAAGTTTTTGCAAAATGTCTTGATTAATCTTTGCAATTAAT